CCCACCCAAAAAAAAAGAGTAGGTAGCTAAGAAATCACAATCTTTGACTATGAAATTAAAGAGATTTAAAGTGGTATGCCTCACATTTATGAAAATGAATCTAATTGCAAGCGGCTATTTATTTGGATGTTTATACTAATAAGCATAATTCATAATTTAATTTATGTTATGAACGTATACTCAATGATTTCCTACCCAATGGCGATGTGACAAAATGCTAATAAATGTTCATCAATTTAGAGTATGGTCCCCATTTGAATGAAATGAAACATTTATATATGTTATGGGAACATGTGCAATGTACCATCATCTTCAAATTAATAAATTAATGTGGGCAAGGTTACTGGCTGCGAAATGCTAGCTAGAGGGGGCCCAATTGAGGCTAATAAGGAACCTAATAAGATGGTTAGGTAGTTCATTTTAGGTAAATGAAAACCTCAATTTGACAATCACTTTAGAATAGAAAATTAAGGGTAAATTGTGTAAGAAAAATACTCGGAGGTATCACTAGTTTTGAGCACAATAATTAATAGAATTTTAGATTCATCTGCACGTTTCATATTACAGGACTCACTTTTTATTAATGTCACAGTATATGATACTGAACGCTATCAATAACTTGGCGTCATTCATATTATTCTATCAATAAGGTTAGCGATACAATCCATATAGTGGATACTCATTGGTTTAATGATCCGCAAAATAATTTGATCTATCAATTATTTCCGATGTTTTTGTTGTGTAGTCCTTGTTTTTCTGAATCTTAAATGAAAAGGAAAATGCTTTGGCAAAAAAAAAAAAATGGAAAATGAGAGTACGATAGGCTTTTTGATGGAGAAATAGAAAAGGACACCATAAAAAAAATCATTATCAAAGTTATCAAACGCGTAACTTCAACGACAGATACAACATATCATTTTGTTGATTGAAAGAGAGGAAAAGGAGATATCATATTATAATTGTTGGTCAATATCTAATCTAATGGGATCAAGCTTGTTAGCGACTTTCCGAGTATAAAACACTCAAAAATGGGCCTCCAAAAGAGCGGGCAGAAACATTAGAGTAGGAAGGCAAACCTAAGTGGGCCTTCTCAAAATTCAAGCGGAAAAGTACGGCCGACTTAATTGCAGTCATTTTTCTTACATGAGAATGGTGGAACAAGAATTCCACCCAATTTTTATCATCATAATGAAAACCATAAATATTCTGTTACGAAAGGAGCTTTTAAAATGAAAAATTCTCAAAAAAGGAAAAATATCATTCCTTTTTTTCTGCTCAATAAAAAAAGAATGGTTAGTGTCATCACGTCTTTCATTCCTTTCGTCACTTTAAAACCACGTAACCAATCAATACAACAAAAATGACTTGGCTCAAATTTATTTAAAAGATGAGCCTAGTTTCTACTCATATTATTATACATTTAACGCCGCACAATACATTGAGCGAGCAGGAGTCCTGAAGTGAGATTATAGATTATTGAATCGTAGGCCGTACAATTTTTATGATTATTATAGTTTTATGGGTATTTAACACATTTACTCCTTGAACTAATGAGGTTTTGATAATTTGTCCTCTACATTTTTAATTTTCTTATTTATCCTCCTAATTTGTAAAATTGCTCCAACGTGTTGCATTTTTATCAATTTTAGTATAACTTCTTTGTTATATTTAAGGATTAAGAGTGAAGTAATTGAGTGATTTGTGTTACAATTGGACTTGGGTTGTTGTAATTTTTTGTTGACCATACTTTTTCATCACCCTATTTAACCTAATCATCGTTAAAATGTGGTACATTGTAATACTTTTTAAGTTGAAAGGTAGACTGTGCAAATTAAAAGAAGTTCACGCTAATGAGTTCTCTTATAAAATTTGAATTCAAAATTAAAATGACTAATTTAAACGCGTCGACCAAACGCGCAATATATTATTTTTATTGTTTTCTTAATTACTAATTTGCATATTCAATATTATGTTAGACAAAGAATATTTTTTGTCCCCCTACTAAAAATCAAAAAATAAAAAATAAAGTAAAGAAATGAAGTTATGAATGAAGAATATGGCGCAAAGGAACAAGGAAGGTGACAACAAGCCGACGCTACCAAACGGAGAGAGAGAGAGAGAGAGAGAGAGAGAGAGGGGAAAGAGGCAGCAAATGCGACAGACACTTGTGACCTTGTTTGGATATGACTTTGGGACCCCCACTTCCCTTCTTCCTCTTCTTCTTCTTCCTCCTCCTCTTCTCCATCCATTCCCACCCAAACCCACACATTCCCCTCTCTCTCCTCTAGTCTAGAGAGAGAAATTCAGAAACTGGTTTCCCCCTGAGGAGAGAGAAAGAGATCAGCAAAATGTCTAAAACCACCACCTCCGCAACAACAATGGAAGAGGAGGAGAGAGAGAGACAGACCTACTGGTGTCACGAGTGCGACATGAGCGTTTCTCTCTCCTCCTCGTCCTCATCCCCTATCCAATGCCCTCACTGCTCCGGCGACTTCCTCGAGCTCATGGACTCCCCTCTCTCTCCTCTCTCCTCTCCTCTCCCCTCTCTCCTCGACCACGCCTTGCTCCGCCGCCTCATCCACCACCTCTCTTCCTCCGAGGAGGACGGCGGTGATTTCTCCGTCGAAGACGACAGTTCCGGTCCTCTTCCGGCCTCCAAATCCTCGATCGCTGCCATTCCGACGATTGAGATCTCCGACGTCGACCTCTGTTGCGCCGTCTGCAAGGACCGATTCGTCGCCGGCGCCGCCGCCAAGAGGCTCCCCTGCAGCCACCTCTACCACGCGGACTGCATTCTCCCATGGCTTGAGCTGCATAACTCCTGCCCTCTCTGCCGATTCCGCCTTCCGTTGGAGGAGAAGAGTAAAAGCAAGAAAAGCCCCGATCTTGGCGAGGTTTTCGAGAGCTCCGAGGAGATGGTTCTGATGGCAGAGGACTGGTTTGATTACGCCAGTACATTGAGATACATTGCGAGGAGGCACAATCTGGTGTTTTCTGAGGTGGAAGAGGAGGAGGTTGAGAATGACGGTGGTGCTGGTGCTCGTCCCGTCGCGGTGTCGTCGAGCTCCGTCTCCGAAAATTCAAGGTTTGTTACTCTTTCATTGGCTCTTACAAGTTGGTATTACTGGAAAATTTTCTTGGCATTCTTTCGAATTTGCAGAGTTTTAGCTGTGATTTGGGAAGATTTAGAATAGCTTCGAATGATGAATTGGAAATTGAAGTAATGGAAGATACTTAGAATAGGATTTTGAATATGTTATCATGCGTTTGGTTGATATTAGCTTTTGTTGTTTTTGATGTTGAAATGGTTTTTCTATATTGATGTACAAAGTGTTTGAAATGTATTGAGGTTTCTTTACTCAATAGAAGTCTTAAGGTTCCTCAGTCTTAAGGCCTTATTTGGTAGGACTAGGAGGCAGAGGTACGTAATCTAAGTGAGGGAAGAGAAAAGGGACAGAGAGGATCTTTCTCTTATGATATTTGATCTTTCTCTTATGATATTTGTATGTGGTGGAAGAATTGAAAACAAAATATTAGAGATGATGTCAAGGGAATGAGAAAATTTGATTTACACGGTAAAGTAAGTTTACAGCGTAGTTCAATTAAACTGATAAGTTCAAACCAATAAGCCTCCAAATTAGGAGGGATAAAATTTAGCATTACTAACTCTTGATCCATCCCATTAAGCCTCCAAATTAGGAGGGATAAAATTTAGCATTACTAACTCTTGATCTCTTTTGAATGATCTTATTGGAATCATTCAGTTGCACCACGCAATGTGAAAGGGAATGAGAAAGTGATGATTGATTCTTTTTCTCATCTGACAAAGTGTTTTTACTAATGAGAATTTAGTGGGCCCCACATAATATAGGGAATAAAGAAAGGGAATATCAATCCTTGCATCCCTTTAGTATTGATTTTTTTTATCAAGGAACCATTAATGGATTATATATAGTCAATAATTATTTAATTGGGAAAAAGAACCTTTTAGGGATTACATTGATAATATTGCTATTCTTAATTTTAGTAAACACAAGGGAGTGAATGAGGTTGTTTTCCATTACACCATATAATAGTCAAGTAAAGGATTCCTAAAGACTATAGAGAGTCATAATCTCAATGCCTTAGGAAAGCTTATGATGGAAATGCCGACCAACAGTTGGGTTTAGTTTTCACCAACTGTATTGAGAAGGTTGATCACTTTCACGATCACGTTCTTTATCATCGTGGGTATGGTCTTCTTATTGGTTACACTTTGCATTGGGAGGTCATGACACGACAACACGACTCGGAAATGGCACGAATTTCATGGGTTAGGGTTGGGAAAATTTGTTCTCGTCTTTGTTTTTGGTTGTGGGGCCTTGTATAGTATGCTTTCAATGCCCATTGTTAAAATTATTGTCGACAATGAGTATTATTAATTATTTTAGTACATTTGGCCATGATTAGTGGGGTAGTAATTGTCGTCATTCTATAAAAAAATTGTTGTTCTCTATGATCATGTATCAAGTTCTTTCTAATATTCATTAGTCTATTCCCATATTAATGTCTTTTCCTGATATTGAATCAAATTTTTTATTTTCTTTTATTTTTCTTCTTGAGTTTGTCATACCCTGGTACATATTTTCTATTAATTTGACAACATACTTCAATTAAACGGATAAGTTCTATCCACTTATCCCACCAAATTAGGAGGCATCAAAATTAGCATTGCTACCTTTTCGATCTCTTTCGAATGAACTTATTGGAATCATTCAGTTATTGGACCGAGCATATGAAAGAGTCTACATTGCTTGCTATTTTCAGTAAAAGAAACCCAATAATCCACACGTTTACGGTTTAACTCTAAATAGGGTGCACAAAATTCCTGAAGACTATAGAGAGTCATGATTTGAATCAATTTCTAGCTGGATAAGGCAGTAGACATAGAATGGAGAGGATTAGTGGAATCAGAAGATTAATTTGTGTGCTGTCTTGTCTTTTTGCTCCAACTGCAAATGATATATTCTGGGCGATACACTAAATTCTTTTAACTGGAGCTTTCTTGATTCTCACAATAAGAGTCAAAGTATTGATAAAAAGGGCTGGACAATTGATTCATTTTTGTGAAGAGTGAGAAATTATCTGTTGCATACAATGCTACAGGAAAGTTTATGATGGTAATGCCGACCAGCAGTTGGTTTTGGTGTTCACTAGCTGTGTTTGGAATTCTAATTGCCAATTCTTCGTAGAGGGATCTTCATGGTTACTTTGCTTGCTATATCTAACTAGAGTGGTGATAGTATTAAAAGCCTTAACCTAAATGAACCACTGTCATTATCTACGTGCCGTCCGTAAGGGGGCATATCAGTCTAGACCTGGTCCAATCTTGACGCATTTAGTAATGTGGGTGTTGTATACTTGTGCAATCATTGGAACATACTTTTAGAAGTTGTCTGGACTGGTGGTGCTTAAGATGCCAAAATAAGGAAATATTAGTTGTTTCATAGTTGGTTATATAGTGTTGTAGATTACCAGAACTCTTTGGGGAAACACTTCAGGTAGCAGGTTATCGATTGTATATGCAGAGCAGCATAAATTTTCTGTATTGAAGTTACTGTTCCTTGTGAAAATTAAGGCTTATTTTGGGATTCCATTGAAATGAACTAGTGTTTTTGTTTCGGCATTTGCGTGGTACTTGAGTGATGCTAGCTTGTTTCTGTTAGACCCTTTTAAGCCTCTTCTTTGACAATTAGGTGCAAAATTAAAAGTGTGTTCATGTGCCTATTCTTTGTGCTTGCTTCTCTCTTTTTCCGCCAACACATTTGAAAATTCTTTCCCCTATAAATGCATCTAATTCGTTGTGGTAACCACCGCCTCGCTAAATACATCCCTACATTGATCTTCACCTCGATATCCTGGTTAAAGGTTTCTTCAAGTTCATCCTGCAAGCAGATTTTGTTATGCTATGTGTACTCTTTATATATGGAATTACCCAAACTACAGGAAGCAGTTTTAGGTTGCTTTATCCTCTAGCAATATTTGCTATTTGCCCACTTTTCCTTTATTTTACACATCCGTTCTTCTCAGACTTATTTATTTTTCTTATTTTTTAAATTGTCTTCCCCTGTTTCGAAATCTTAACAAGTGAGGTGGCTAGTTCCGACTGTATTGCCTCGAGGGTAGAACAGGACACACTGCATGTAATGCTTCACGCAGTAGTCTTTGTTAGGAACCCCAATATCTTCCATTCAATAGAAGCTTGAAATGCCCAAGTTGCAGATTGTGGCTAGTTCTTTTGGAAATTGCCTTCTTTAGATTCGGTTTCTGGTTGGGAATTTCAAAATCTTCTATGATACCAAGACACTTTATCATCAAACAAAAGTATTTTCTTAAACTTTAACGAATCTTTACTGATAACGAATCACTTTGCTGCAGGTAAATGCATTCTAGAGAAACATTGCCAGAGTTTCGCGACCGGAGATTTTTCTGACGTGTAAAGATGATTATAGTACATATTATCTTTCTACATTTTGATTGGCACAGTGCCCTTGTCGGACGAGCTGGCAACTTATTTTGTGACAATTGTGAATTGTTACTCTCCCTCCAATGCTTGGGAAAAAAAAAAAAGCCCGAGAAAGAAAGGTTGAAGTTCGAAGTATCTGTAGAAGATAAGGGGTCAAAATTGTGTAGATGTACTCTAATTCCGGTTAATAAAGAGGTTATTTCCCATTGTTCAACAATTAAATTAGTGAACTTGGCATCGTTCATTTCACCGATTCAAGTTTAAAATTCGAGTTTTACTATAGTAAAAAGTTCTCCGAAACAATCACATTTAATTTTTTTACTACAGTAAAAAGCTTTCACATAAAGTCACATTTCAACTCGAATTAAAAACTTAAATCAGTGAACTAAACGGGTCTGAAATCTTCGCCTTTTAAAGTGTACAATCTGGAACAATCCGCAAAGTGGCCTAAATTGTTTGTTTCTTAGCAAAAGACGTACTGATAGATCATAAAAAGTTTGAGTCATACTACAAATGGTGTTTGTGGTAAATTTTGAACTATACTTTATTAGATTAATAAAAATGAAAAATACTATGATATCGGTCCAGTAATTTGTTCTTTTGCACTTTCAATTTTATTAATCAAACATTTTCTCATTAGTTACAATCTAGAATAGTATGGTTCAAAATCTACCGCAAGCATATAGTATGTAAGCAATAATGATAGGAAAAAAGAATGATAGAACGTGATTTAAAAATATTTGTTACGGAATTATACATTCTATAAATTCTGCGTGTCTGATTAATTTTCTCACAATTTTATTGCTCTCACTTATGTAAAATTGGGGCGTCTAATTCTTAACAAGTTTAAGGAACTGTTTGGCAGATCAATTTTTTTCATAATTTTATTGTTCTCACTTATGTAAAATTAGGGCGTCTAATTCTTAACAAGTTTAAGACTCATCCCCCCCTCAATATTCACCCACAATATTAGTTAACAATCTCCCTTGTTGTGTTTGTGTACACTGTACAATAAGAGAAAGTCAGAAAGAGTTCTAGAAAATTTAAATATTTTATATCGAAAAAGGCAAGTTGTCAATGACAGCTAAATTGAAGCCACATAAGTAACGTGATACGTGGAAGGAAAGAAATTAGGCATCATTCACTTCACAAATTTGAGTTTTTAATTCAAGTTAAGATGTGATATTTTTTAAAAGTTTTTCACTGTAATAAAAAAGTTAGATGTGACATTTTTTGAAAATTTTTTACTGTAAAAACCTAAAATTCGAATCGGTGAAATGAACATGCTTTTAGTAACATATTTATTTCTTTTTCACATCTATATTATTACAAATGTACGCAGCCAACAAAATTGGAAGTTCCCCAAGGAACAATCTTTCCACATCTGCACATGTAGAACGTGTTGTCTTCCAAGACGTACTACAATCAAAATGGTGTTTGCGGTAAATTTTGAACTTTACTTTATTAGATTAATAAAATTGAAAAATAATATGCTATCGGTCCAGTAATTTGTTCTTTTGCACTTTCAATTTTATTAGCAAACATTTTCTCATTTTATGTTTATTGCTTAGTTATAATCTAGTATAGTATGGTTCAAAATCTACCGCAAGCATATAATATGTAAGCAATTATGATAGGAAAAAAAATGATAAAATGTGATTTAAAAACATTTGTTACGGAATTATACATTCTATAAATTTTGCGTGTCGATTGTGTTTGATCAATTTTTTACGATTTTATTGCTCTCACTTATGTAAAATTAAGACGTCTAATTATTAAAAAGTTTAAGGGCTCGTTTGGCAGATCAATTTTTTCATGATTTTATTGCTCCCACTTATGTAAAATTACGGCATATAATTCTTAACAAGTTTAAGGGCTCGTTTGGTAGAGTTTTCTTATTAGGACGTCTAATTCTTAAAAAGTTTAAGGGCTCATTTGGCAGATTAATTTTTTCGTGATTTTATTGCTCCCACTTATGTAAAATTAGGGCATCTAATTCTTAACAAGTTTAAGGGCTCGTTTGGCAGAGCTTTTATTTTTGTTTTTGTTTTTAACTAGTAGAAGAAGAGAAACAAAAGCTTAGGTTTTTCAGTAAATGTTTGAAACTAAAAGCTTATGGGTTAAAATGATTTTTAAATTTTCTAATGAGCAATAAAAGTATTAAAATGACGTTTATAATACCTTAATAAAATTCTGATATAAATTTTAAAGTCTATTCAAAAATGTTTTTTTAGAAGTTATATTTTGTGGCTTTCATTAGAAGTTCTTTTAAAA